TTCGGATTGAAGAGGACAATCGGAAGTCTTCGGGGAAGGCCCCGATGATGGAAGCTCGTGCCAACTTGCTGGAGCAAGGCAACTCGAGCAAAAGGAAGCCCCTTAACAAATGGAAGCAGCAGCCTGCCAAAGTGTGGAAATTTACCGGTAATTGCCACAACTGTGGAAAGCCGAACCATATGGCTAAGGACTGCATGAAGCCTAAAAAGGCTGGTCTCAGAAAGGCACAACATGGTGCCCTCATTGCTGAACACGGCCCTGTGCCGAGTGAACTAACCGACATGGATATGTCGGCTGTGGTGTTTGAAGCCAATTTGGTGGATAACCCAAGGGCGTGGTACATTGATACTGGTGCCACTCGCCACGTGTGTTCCGACAAGGGGTTGTTTTCTGAATACACTCCAAATGGTCGGAAGCTCCACATGGGCAACTCCTCCTCGTCTGATGTGGCTGGAGTTGGCATCGTGGTGCTGAAGCTGACTTCTGGAAAGGACTTGAAGCTTAAGGATGTTTTGCATGTCCCAGACATCCGCAAGAATTTGGTCTCCGGATCTCTTCTTGTAGAACATGGTTTTAAGTTAGTGTTTGAAGCTAAGAAGTTTATTCTTAGCAAGTATGGTAAATTCCTTGGTCGTGGCTATCTCGACAATGGTTTATTTAAAATGAATGTAATGGCTGTGAGCCGTGTAACCGTTTCCAATGATAATAAAAATCGTACTTCTGTTTATATCGTGGAGTGTTCTGATTTATGGCATATTAGATTAGGACATGTGAATCTAAATGCAATTAAACGGTTGATGAACTTAGAATTAATTCCTAATTCTAAAATTGAATCACACAAAAAATGTAAAATTTGTGTTGAAGCCAAAATGGCTAATTACCTTTTCACTCGGTGGAAAGAAATACTGAACCGTTGGGTTTAATCCATACTGATGTATGTGACTTGAAGTTTGTGCAAACAAGAACGGGTAAAAAATATTTTATAATTTTTATTGATGATTGCACAAGGTTTTGCTACTTATATCTTTTAAGAAGCAAAGATGAGGCTGTGGAAGCTTTTAAAAATTATAAGACCGAAGTTGAAAATCAACTCGGCAAAAAGATTAAACTAATCCGAAGTGATAGGGGTGAGGAGTATGTAGCTCCTTTTGAACAAATATGTTCTGAATATGACATAATTCATCAAACGACGGCCCCCTATTCTCCACAGTCGAATGGTGTTGCTGAACGCAAGAACCGGACTTTAAAAGAGATGATGAATGCCATGTTGATAAATTCAGGATTACCCCAAAATATGTGGGGGGAAGCTGTTTTAACAGCAAATCATATTCTGAATAAAATACCACCTAAAGGGAAAAACGAAACTCCTTACGAAATGTGGAAAAATCGTAAGCCGTCTTATAAGTACCTGAAAGTGTGGGGGTGTTTGGCTAAGGTTTCAGTTCCTGAACCAAAACAAATGAGAATCGGACCTAAGACGGTCGATTATATTTTTATTGGATATGCATACAATAGTACTGCATATAGATTTCTGGTTTATAAATCAGAAAATCCGGAGGTATCGGTTGGTACCACTATTGAGTCGAGGAATGCTATATTCTTCGAGAATATTTTTCCTTTGAAGGAAAGGGCAGAATCTAGTTCTAACAAAAGGACGTATGAAACTGCTAGCGGTTCTGTACCAGATGGTACTAAAGATAAAGAAGAAGAACCGAGACGTGGTAAAAGGGTAAAAACGGCAAAAACGTTTGGACCTGATTTTATTACGTATATGTTGGACGATGAACCGAGTTCCATTAAGGAAGCTCTGTCTAGCCCAGACGAACCACTCTGGGAAGAAGCTATAAATAGCGAAATCGAGTCCATTATGCAAAATCATACTTGGGAGTTAGTTGATCTCCCTGCGGGTTGTAAATCTTTAGGATGCAAATGGATTCTAAAAAGAAAATACAAAGCTGATGGAACGATTGATAAGTTTAAAGCAAGATTAGTGGTCAAAGGCTTTAAACAAAAAGAAGGGTACGACTTCTTTGATACCTATTCACCTGTGACGCGTATAGCGTCAATTAGAGTGCTTCTCTCTATTGCTGCTTTGCACAATCTTGAGATTCATCAAATGGATGTCAAAACGACATTTTTGAATGGTGAATAAGAAGAAGAGATTTACATGGAACAACCCGAAGGTTTTGTAGCACCTGGACAAGAGAAAAAGGTGTGCAAATTGATCATAGCCTTGTACGGACTTAAACAAGCTCCAAAACAATGGCATTTGAAATTTGATGACGTGATGTTGTCAAATGGATTCAAAATCAACGAATGTAACAAATGTGTTTATGTTAAAAACACATCAAATACATATGTAATTGTATGTCTATATGTAGACGATATGTTGATCATGGGGAGTAGCCATGACGTGATCATGGATACGAAACGAATGTTGAAAAGAAATTTCGACATGAAAGATATGAGTTTAGCTGATGTAATTCTTGGAATAAGAATTATCAGAACCCAAGATGGAATTGTCTTGTCACAATCTCATTACCTAGAGAAAGTGCTCAAGAAATTTAATGCCTATGAAGGTCCTTTGTCTAGGACACCCCTTGATCTTAGCATAAATCTGGAAGCCAATAAAGGTCAACCAGTTGCTGAATTGGAATATTCACGGATAATAGGGAGTCTAATGTACTTGACGAACTGTACACGACCAGACTTGGCCTATCCGGTGAATAAGTTGAGTAGATTTACGAGCAATCCCAGTCATGAGCACTGGAATGCTTTGAAAAGGGTACTGAAGTACTTAAAGTACACCCTTGAATACGGGCTAAAATACTCGAGATATCCAGCAGTACTTGAAGGGTACTGTGATGCAACTTGGATATCGGATTCGAGAGATTCTCACTCCACAAGTGGATATGTCTTCTGTATCGGAGGAGGAGCTGTTTCGTGGAAGTCCACAAAACAAACTTGTATAGCTCGGTCAACCATGGAGTCGGAGTTCATCGCTTTAGATAAAGCTGGTGAAGAAGCCGAGTGGCTTCGAAACTTTTTATCCGATATTCCATGTTGGAATAATCCTTTGTCGCCTGTGATGATTCACTGTGATAGCCAAGCTGCTATAGGAAGGGCGCAAAGTAACATGTACAACGGTAAGCCTAGACATATTCGTCGTAGACATAATACCGTTCGCCAATTGATCACAAATGGTATTATTTCCATTGACTACGTAAAGTCTAAGGAAAATTTGGCTGATCCTTTTACTAAAGGATTGAATAGAGATCAATTGAGAATACTGCTAGAGGGAATGAGATTAAAAATCCACAATGAAAAGAATGATCATAGTGGTAATCCTACCTTGCTGAATGGAGATCGCATAAACTTGGTTCAAGGGGAAAACTAAACTATGAAAATTCAGCTAAGCACTTGGAACATTAGAATGTCTAAATCTATTCCCTAAAGCAATCCAAGTGCAAGATTACCTGTTGATTGTGGTGAGGGTAAGTCTTATGGACTTTTAATGAATCCCTAACCTTTTAAAGGTGGAGTAATACAGGATAATCTTGACAGGGAGGTCACCTATATAAGTGTGAAGTGAGGGCCGCTTCATTTGTAAACACTTATGAATCCAAAGTGTTGTCCATGGCCAAAACGGACACAACAATAGAACGGAATGGAGTTAAGGCTCTATTGTGTGAATGTCATTGTCTTGGTGTACAC